AAAAAAAAAGGCAACGCAGGATAGAGATACGATTTAAAAAAAAAAAATAATAATAATAATAATAATAATAATAATAATAATAATAATAATAATAATAAAAAGAAATATTGTAAGTACCGAAAAGATTATAATTTAAAACTATATAGTTTCTTTGTAATAAGACTGAAATTGTTTGTACATGCTTAATAATCATAGTTTAGATGATGTATATGTACGAAAATTTATACACACATTAAAAAAAAAAAAAAAGGATAATGTATCTACAGGATATGCATATATATATATATATATATATATATATAAATATAAATATAAATATTAAAAACACATACACATATATAAGTATACACCTACACAAATACGAACCCATATATATATATATATATGTATGTAAGATTATATATGTATATATATATATGCTTTAAATTACAGATTAACTCTTATATCACACTGTAAATAGAGAACTTACGAAACCCGCAATTTCTAAGTCCTAATAAATAGAATTAAGTCTTTGTCTCATAAAGTCATCTTTAAAGAATAAATTGATGAAAGAATGGCTCATAAACAATGAAGTAGTTTAATTAATAACACAAATTGATTTTTACCAATTTCCTCATTTTTCGTTTAGAATTTTTGAATAATTTAATCCTTTAATATTAAAACCACTATTTTCATTTATTACCTTCTTATACATATTTTTCTAATTATTTCTTTTTATTTTTTTTTATTAAAGTATTTGATTGAATTTTAATGTTTGTAATGATGATAAGTTTATTTATTAAATTTGTAAATATTATATTATTCTAGAACAAATTTGTTTTGTGAATTATTAACTGATGCAATTTATCTGTACATTTATTTGATTAACAAAAAAAAAAACGAACTTAATTTGATAATTTAAATTAATTACAAAAAAAAATTAATAGGAATCTACTATATTGACTGTAATAATACAGAAATCTTCTTTGCCAGCTAAGTTTAAGCTCAAAATCATTTTACAAGTTGAAATCTATGTTTTAAGGTAATAAATTACCATAAATCAGTAAACCAGGTATTAACTATCACAAAGTATGGTCAATAAATTAACAATCTTTTAGTTTTAATTTTGAAAAATTGAAAATACTATTAAAAAATGTATTTTTTTTTAATGTCTTTGAGTTTGTTATAGTTTCACTTATTTATAAAAAAAAAAAAAAATAATAATATTCAAGTCAGACATTTATACAAAGTTACCATATTAAAGTATTTTAATGAAAATATCCATATATGGTTAAGAATTAAAGTAATTAATGTTAAATAATTTTTTTGTTTTTTCAATATTATTTCACAAGCTTTGTCTTAAATGTAAGGATTAATAAATTACATTAAGAAAATAATCATCGACAAGTATTTCTTCTGTTATAACGTTATTCGAATATAAAATAATTTTCAACTTTCCTTTCTCATTTCTCTTATTCACCACCCTCATCCAATTTATTTAATTGTCTCGATACTAATTCCCATTTGGAGATCCACGATGGTCTACTCATTTCTTGGGTATTCATTTCTTCTATCAAGTTCATCGCACGTATTAAAAATTCATTTATCTTACCAGCAGTGCCACGTCGTAACTTGGGAAAATTTTTATCTAAAACAAATTATCTCCTTGAATACACAATGTTTATTAAATTATTAATAAAAAAAAAATATAAAAAGAAAAAAATAAACTAAAACGTTCCTGTGCAACTGTTATTACGTGTAATAACAGTGGACAATTTAAAAGATAAAATAAGAATACAAAATTAATCAATAAATTTATCCTCATTTTTTTAATCCTGTGTGTTAACCAACACCTTTCATGCACGTAACGTAATATAAAAAACTATAAAAAAAAAAAAAGTAACACGCAATATAATTAAAAAAAAATATGCTGAAAGTGTGTAAACAATCGATTTACTCAAAGGCCGAAAAGAATCTTTTATCCAAACAGTTTGCTGGGTCATGGCAGCAACGAATCTTCTCGTCACGAGACTTTGACTTTCTCCTGTCAATGGTCTTAACCGAGAAACGAATCTTAAAATATATTCCAAAAGATATCTGCTCGAACTGGTTATCTTTTCAAAACACCTTTCCGGTTTTGAACTCCAAACTACGATGTAACTTAAACTATCCAAATCTAAAATTGGATTTTTCAATGTTTCCAACCATTCAAAAAGTAAACCAAAAAGAACATCGAGATCTGTTTCGAGTTCTAAACGTTGCCATGCTGTACATCGATTGTTTAAATCCACCTACAAAAGGTTTTCATTAATTATTATTATTATTATTATTATTTTTCAAATTTAATTCAAACTATTTTTTAATAAATTCAATTGATTCAATTGTGTGTGTGTGTGTTTAAATTTTTACCTGATATTGTAATAAACATTTTGTTGTTTTATCTGACAAATTAGACGAATCTTTGATCAAAGCTTTAACAACTTCATCAATATTAATCTTTCGAAAGATTTCTTTGCTAGCTGCAACCTTTAAATCGATTTGTGATTGTATTTCTTTGTAACAATTGTTATCAATAAGATCCTGTCCATGAATTCCATCAGCCAAAACATCGTCGACGCAACTATCGTCCAAACCTACAACGATTATCAATTTAAAATAGAAACTTTGTAAATATCTTCATAGAAATTTTATTCTAGCTCTACCAGTATAAGCTGAATCACAAGACGGTGTGTCAGGTGAGGTACAAAACACGTCGCTCAATCTTCCAATATCATCTGCAGTGTCACGTGATGATCCTTCACTGCTACCTGCTCTTGCTTTTGTTGAAGCTAAAAACATGATTGATTGTTTTTTTTATTAATTATTTGCTATATTTTTAAAGTGAAACCTTTTTTTTATTTTAAAAATTACAAAAACTGCGCGCCTGTAGATATGCAACCCTCCAGACACAGTTTGAAAATGTTGCTTGCGAGCGACATCTGTTGGAACGGAATTTTTTTTCTTGCCCGAAAGATAGGCAACTCGCAATACACACGTGTATGAACAGTTTGGGATGAAAAAAATTACCGTTCCAGTAGATGTCGCTCGCAAGCAACATTTTCAAACTGTGTCTGGAGGGTTGCATTCCTACAGGCGCGCATTTTTATAATTGTTAAATAAAAAAAAGAATAAAATTCTATAAAATTAGATTGATTACTCACTTGAATAATCGAGTGATGAATCAGCAAGGGATTCTGTCCACGAATAAGAATGCCTGATATTTCCTCCACCATTATCTCGCAATTTTTCTAATACGTGTGAAATAAATTTTCTTGTAAATGGTGTACTCGAAACTTTATATTCAATTTCACATGGTGAATTATCTTCTTGACAATCGCACAACTGTAGAATACGTTCACAGATAATAAAAACAATCTATTAACAAAAGAACATGATTAAATAATCATCTAATTAAATATTTATTTTTCTAACAAATGAATTTAAAACACACACAAAGAAAAAAAATAAACACCTTAGGTATATGTTTAAATGTACGTTGTTCGTAACCATGTAAAACATTATTCTGTCGTTTTAGATACGATTGAAGGCTACATGGTTTTTTATCACCAATCGTACTGTTCAATGGATAAACTATCATTTGTGGTAATACAAAATGTTCAAATTCTTGAACACAAATGATTTGTCCTCGTGTTTGAATAGCACATGGTCGTTTTATACGAACAAATCTTATGGCATCGTTTGCTCTAACTCGTAGATTATAAATTAAATAACATGCGATCAAAACACCTGTTCTACCTAAGCCTACGAAATAAAAAAAGAAAACAAACGTTATCATACATTATTATCATTCATTCAAAATGTAACGCCGCGCGCACGATGACATTTAAGAATACAAAATTATATTTAAAATAAATGAAAATGAAATTATATTCTTATATCTTGAAATTCGAATGATAATTAGTTTCATTTCTTTTTTTTGTAGGTGTGAGATTGGTCTATTAAGTGTTTGTTAGATGTTTGTCAGCAGTAATAGGAACCTAAATTAGTTTTCATTGTCCACCGTGTCTAATTGATGCTATAAATAACAGGCTCGTGCCGTAGTGTTCAAGAACGGAAACGGAAACCATTATCACGACTAGTATACTTCCGTGTTTAATAGAATGGTTATGACGTTGGTAAACATACTAGGTGAACTATAATCTAAATTTATGCCAATTGTATCTTACATTTTACTGCTTATAATATTTCCCCCTTAAAAAAAAATATTCACCATTAATCCCATAATTATTTTCATATAAACCAATTATTTGTATCCCTTTTTGATTTTACGCGTAAGTTTGAATCATCAAATTGACATCATCAAATTGAATTTTTGATCGAATAAGAATTATTTTAAATATCACCGTCATTTAAAAGTAAATTTCAAACGTTGGTAAGAAGAGTAGATAAGAAAGAAAAAAAAAAATTAGTTTTCTACTCGTGACTGATAAGCTTTACATTTCCCATAGTGAGATTCTATATCCGTAGGTATGCCACTGACAGTGAAAGGTCGAAAGTCAATGTCCTTCTTTTAAATATCACTTTGCACTAGCGGGTAGTACCAGACGATTGCGGACACGGAATCTACGTATTAGGACGTAATTTAATCGTACGTTTAACTATATATATATATATTTTACAAAACTTTTACAGTTGTTAATGAAATAGAAAAAAAAAAAATATATAAATGCGGGTTTTAGATTATTTTTTTATCAAATACTAGAGGTGGCCCCACAACGTGTTGCTGTGGTGGTTCACAATCAGTCCGATACACACGTCTTTAAGTCAATTGCAATTATAAATTAATATATAAACTATCCTATCTTTCAAGTTAAATGAAACTGCACACAGTATGCAAAATTTAATTAAAATCGGTTCAGTAGTTTAAAAGTCGATTGCGGATAAACATCGTGACACGTCATTTATATATATATATTAAGAAAATTTTAAATGATTCAAAATAAATTTATTTGATAATTTGTTTTTGTCAAAAGAAAAAAGAAAATATTCTGAAGAAAATCAAATGACATTTCATAAACATGATCCTTTCAATATTTTATCAAAGTGATTTGAAATAATAAAAATTGATCTCTGTTTGTTTAAACAATACCAAACTGATCAAACTTACGTATGAATAGGGGGGGGGAGGGGAAAAAATAATATTGTTATCTAAGAATAACACGGCTTACTAAGTCAATATTATTTTGCAGGTAGATAGAAATTAGATGAAAGAGAGAAAAATCGATTTTACCAGCATGACAGTGAATTGCCACTCTTCCTTCTTGCACGGCAAAGGCTACGACCTTGACCATGTCCAAAAGTTTTCCCATCGTTGCTTCTCCATAATCCTTTAGTGCAAAATTGTAATAATAAACTGCAAAATTTAAGAAAAAAAAAAAAATCACAAAAAATCAAAACAAAACTCACAAAACACTCACACATATCAACAGAATTTTGCAACAGAATGTTCAAATAAATCAAAATTATGTTTAAAACAATGTTCTGTATGTGTGTGTGTGTGTGTGTGTTAATGTTTTCTCTTTTCATTTAATGTATATATGTATACGAATAGTATGTGTGTATGTATGTGTATACATATATAGATAAATGGTTTTGCTGCATTGCATGTTTCAGCACCGAACTTGTTCAAATCTAGTTGTTAGAATCAAGGAACACAGTAGGTTCTTCCTTCCTACCTGGTTCTACCTGTTTAACAAGGACAACCTACTACTACCCTCTAACTACTACCCCCTACTCGTCGCTATCACGAGCAACCCCATTTTATGGCGAAACGTTGGCCCAAAACTATTTTACTACCAATTTTAACTTACAATTATTCATCATCCTTTCGTATTATTCAATGTGATGGGTAGTTTGTTTATCACTGATTTTTATCTTTGATATTAAATATTCTGATTTATATCGCAATAAATGTGATATGTTTGTACAACTTTATACAGTTTTTGTATAGTTTGTTTTCATAGACACATTGATCATTTGAAAAATAAATATATAAATGTATTGTAAAATACGAGGATAAATTGAACAATTTTTATTTATTTTGAGAAAACAGAGTGTTTGTGTGTGTGTTTATTTTTTTAAATTAAATTAAAATTATGTGGTAATTTTATACGGTGTTAATTATTATTACTTCATTATTTTATTTCGAAAGCAAAAGAAAATTAATTTAATTTACAATTAAAATAAAATTAATTTTGTTTCACGTTTCATTTAAGATTTTTCAATCTAACTTTGTACTTGTGTGTTCTGAATTATTAATAATTATTTAGTTAATTATAATTGCAAGTAACTTTGTAAAAAAAAAAAAAAAAAATCGTATTTTAAATGATTCACTAATTCTGACAAATAAATTTGATTTGATTTCAACATTCTACTAAAACTATTTCCCTTTCTACAAAGATCTAGGATAGATAAGATTGAACATAGTACATTATTTGAAATATAAAATAAAGAATATCGTTAGAAAGGTTGAAAGTTACTACTTTCTTCGTGAATGATAAATCTAATCGAATTTTTTCACGAATGAACAAACGACACGGAAGAGAGTACTTTTTTTATACAGGGTGAAATAAAAGTTACTTTAACCAATTACAATAAGTGATAGAGTTCAACAAACAATTCAGGAATTAGGAAGTATTATATTTTGATTAGATAAAAGATAAGATAAAAATGATATATATATATATATTTTATTAACTTACTGTTGTTTTTCATAAAGATATTAGGATCGTAAGTGAAGCCACTCTTTTCAAGAGATCCCCCACAACTTGCATGTTCACCTGGCGTTTGTAAGTTTATTATGGTCTTTATACTCCACCTTTGAAATTGGCCAATTATGTTTTTTTCGATTATTTGGTTAGTACTTGGCCGTGCCATGGCTAAAACGTCGTCTGTCACCCTAATACATTATGTCAATGTTTATGTTATCTTTCGTACATACACACACACACAAGAATGACTTGAACATTTTTCGAGAATCAAACGAACACAAATTTTGTATCTTTACAAATAAAAATCAATTTGTAAAAGTTAAACAAATCTTGCCAAATGTTTTTTTTTTTTGTAACATTTCCACATTCTTATTTTATTTATTTGAATTACTAAATTATTAAAAAAAAATAAATAAATAAGAAGAATTATTTAGTTTCAATTGTAAAATAATTTCGAAGATTGTTACTTTGATATATCATTGCAGATAAGATTAAATATATAAGTTTTTTTATAAAGATAAAGATATTTTTGTTGTCAATTGTAAAATACGTCGAGGGAATACGTCGTGCATGTGAAAACATCGATACACGTGTAACGGAACACATAAATCACCATAAATTACAAATTTGCAGTTCATAAATAATTCTCCTTCAAAGGTATCGATCCCGTGCACTGATACAAACCGTGATTAACATAAAACCTCGATGACATTATAAAATTTAAATAAACAAAAAAATTTAACGTATGTATATATATTTTTTAATATTTAATTGTCTTCAAACTTTATAGCAAAAAAATAAAAAAAAAAAATAAACAAAATCTTACCAGTGCGAAAAGATGTTTTGTATCGCCATATGAACCGGTGGCCATGCTTTTGGATTTTCATACTTGCATCTGGATCCACCGCAAAAAATTGCACACTGTATTGCCTGTGGTGTAAATTTTCGTAAATTTTCCGAAAATTTATTATAACCGGGTAATGGTGTTTCCGGTAAATTATGCTGTCCAGTTTGTAATCCAGCTGGTATTAATGAACTTACGTCCATTCTACGAGATACATGTAAAATCACAAATCTTACGATCGTTTTCTCGATTTTTAAAAATAACAAAAAAAAAGAAAATAGGAACACATTCAACATTACAAATAAATTAATTAAATAATTAACAACAATTAAATAATTAATAAATTAACAACATTACAATGATCGTAATAATAATAATAATAATAATAATAATTTATGTCAAAAATATCTTGACGAGTGTATGTAAAACAAAAACAACTTAAAACTTTAATTTTAATTGATACAAAAACAATGTTAACATAAAAAAAAATATATCTAAGAATTAGAATATTAATAAATTAAAAAAAAAAAATTAATATTAATAAAAAAAAATAAATTTAAAAACTTACGTATGAAAATTCGTCGATGTAATCTTCGTCCATCGCATAAAAACCACACCACGCGTTCACGCGAGTTATAAATAAATTACAAAAAAAAAAAAAAATAATAATAATAAATTATATTATTTCTTTCCTCTTTTTTTTTTTTTCTTTTCTTTTTAATCCTAATCGCACGATAATAATTTAGAATTGAGGACGCATAAATGAATTTCAATCATCCAGAAACTGCCACCACGAATGACTGTGAGTGATCGAACGTATGCGTGTACGACTTGAAATTGATAGAAAAATGTTAATAAAAGATAATAAAAAAAGAGAAGTTAGAAAGAAATAGAGAGAGAGAGAGAGAGAGAGAGAGAGAGAGAGAGAGAAATGATCAATGGGAAATGGCACTTAACGTATTCACGTATAAGCGCATAATAGCGACTGACACTCCCGCCACACTAACAGCCACTTTATCCGTTTTATAATCGTAAGGGTTGCTTGCGCGCGTGCGTCATATTTTACCCCTATATTATATGTAGCGTTCCCTACCGGCATATTCAGGACCTTCCATGTTTTACTCAATCGTTTTTTTTATTTTCTTTTTATTTTTTTTTTTTTTATTTAACCTACAGTTCAATTATTATAATATTTTGTATTTTACGAGTATACTCGTCATTAGTAAAAATAATTAACACTTTGTGCGTGCTGAGCACACACTTTCTGTTTGACTTGTCGTTCGGGTTATTTGGATTTTTAATGCATTTAATAAATAAAATAAAAAGTGTACCTACCATCGGTGGTACATGTGGTTTGAAGATTAAGTTTAAATGTGTACCACCGGTGGTACACATGGCATAGAACGTGTTAATGATAATTTGACTATTTAACGTAATTTTATTTGTCAATTCTTCAAAAGATGTTTCAAATATTTTTTAATTTTTATGATCGTGTCACGTGAACAAATATAAAAGTTGAGAAATAATTGAACATATTTTTAAAATTCATAGAATTGAAATGTGTCGACAAGTGTTTTTTTTTGGAATAAAAATTGAATGAAAAATGGAAGAAAAATTGATAATATATTTCAACAGGTGTTTCTCTTTTATTTTTTGTTTGTTTGTTTGTTTGTTTGATCATAGAAATTGGTTATCTTAGTAAAATATAATTAGACCAGAAGATTAGTTGAAATATGTTTCACAAGTGTTTCATATTTATCACAGAAATAACAAAATTCTTGTTGAAAAAGAAGAATATGTTTAATTATGTATTTAATAAATCAATCAACTCTGTATGTATTTTTCTGTGTGTGTATATTATTATTATTATTATTATTATTATTATTATTAATTGGCAAATATCAAATCCTGTCAGAGTGTTCCCATCTCTGAGTTTGACCCTTCCTTCGTAATCAATTTCTTGCAAGTGCAGGTGCATGTGCATATGCACAACATATGTGTGTATGTATTTATAAAATTTATTAATTAATATATTAAAAGTTTAGTAATAGATTATATAAAAAAAAAAATGAATATAAATAATAAAAATTCTAAAACTAAATAAACTGGGAAAAAAACCAAAGACCCACCCACCCACACTCACAGATCCTTCGTAGCCTATTTCTTGCAAGTGCATATGCAAGAGCAGATGATGCAAGTGCATGTGTGTATTTATAAAATTTAATAATTAATATATTATTATTACTAATACATTATATTCCTTTAAATAATATAAAATAAATAAGAAAAATTGCAAAACTAAATCAACTGGAAAAGACCAACCATGCAAGTGCATGTGCAAGTGCATGCATGTGTATTTATATAATTTAACAATTAATATATTAATTTAAGTAATAGATTACATAAAACAAAACAAAATGCAAATAATAAAAATTGCAAAACTAAATCAACTGGAAAAAAAACCAACCAACCACCCACCCACCCACATTCACAGAATAAAAATAAAACTAGTAGAATCTTATCAGAATCATTTGACGATTGATTGATAACAAAAATCAATGATAATTCATTGATAAAAAAGAAATCAACACACAAATACACACACACATATACACACATCATACAATCGTAACTAATAAGATTGTAGATAATAGATAAAATGAAGTTAGAAATGGAACGAAAAAAAAAAAGCTGAGTTAGACATTTTTATTCAACGTTGAGTTGACCAATCGTGTCGCTAGCTGCTGTTAGAGAAATGGCTGCTAAAATGAAACGCATGGTCGAGGAGGAGACGAACGAACGATTCTCGATGATCTTGGTCGGAATCAGCAGTAGCGGCGGACGCGCGCTGGTGTCGGCATCGGCTCTTTTGCTGTTGCTGACTACTCTGCTGCTATTGCTGGTTGCTAACAATTTTTTTGTTTTGTTTTTGCTGATTTCATTGAATCAACATATTTCGTTAATCATCATTAACAAAAACAACAACAACATCATTTTCATCATCATCATTATCATCGTTGTCATCAATTTGATCTTTTGAATGTCTTCTACTTCTTCTTCTTCTTTTTGATATTGTTCATCAAACGACGAGTTGTTTGAAATTTTTCATCATCAAAATATTGTTTGGTCAAGGATCAAAATTTGAATTAGAACGTGTGCGCGAGAGACCCACACCACCACCATTCAACCTTCTGTCTCTCATCGAATAATATCTAAAATAGTTTGCCAGGAGTAAGCAAGAAAAGTAGCAGAAGAAACACAGAAACCGGTTTTCATCGGGCGTGGGAAGAAGAAGAAGAAGAAGAGGAATAAGAAGAAGAAAAAAGAAAAAAGAAAAAAGAAAAAACGGGCACGAGCCAAAAGAAGATAACGAAAGAAAAAGAAAAAAGAAAAAAACTACGAGTTTTGTTATTAGACACGCGAGTTTTTCTTTTTGGATACTTTTTTTTTAATTACTTTCAATAAGTAAAAGGAAAAAGTAACAAGAGAGAAAGAGAAAGAGAGAGAGAGAGAGAGAGAGAGAAGAAATTTTGGTAATTCTCTCATTGTCAAAATGAGCTCGTCGACTTATGCGGGGTAAGCAACAATTATAAATAATTAATACAATTTTAATTCCCCCTTTTTTTTTTTTTTAATTTTCCCCCATTTTTCATAAAATATTTGAAAGGAATATAAGTTGAAAATATTAAAATAAATTTCGTACACATTTGTTTTTTATTTATTTATTTTTTTTTTTTTGGAGATTGGTACCTTTGTATTATCTTTTTTTTTCATTTTATTATATTATTAATTATTATATTATTAATATATATTATAATATAATTAATATTATATATAATATATTATATATTATTTTATTTTAAACTTGCTACCTTCATATTACCTTTTTATAATTTTATTATATTTTTTATTAATTATTATATTATAATATAATAATTAATAATATAATATATATTATTTTATTTTTATATTTAAATTTTGTTTTTTTGGAAACTTGCAATCTTCATATTACTTTGTTTAATTTTATTATTAACTACTTTAATATTATATTAAATTATTGCTAATATAATTAAAAACAAGATTTATATATATATATATATACATATGAGAAATGTTTATGTAACACAACTATTAAATAATAATTCGTCTATTTTAATTTTATTATCTATATGAAACTTTGAAACGTTGACATTAATTTGTAAGAAATCAAAAAGAGCCCTCACATGAGAAATGATTTTTACGTTTTCTTCCTGTAAGAGAGAGTTTAAGAGATTTATATTTGTGTCTCTCTTATTAAACGAAAGAGACGAAGAGTAGACTGCGATAAGTAGTGTCTTCCCTTTTAGCTTCTCTTAAATCCGATCCATACGGAAATACCAAGCAAGCTTCAAATTCGTGAAAGGATTAAGAAAGGTCAGGAAATAATAATAATAATAAAAAAAAATCAAACAAATTATGTTCCGTCCCTTTTTCTGAGTATTCATTTTGCTATTCTAAACATATCTTCAAATAAAATCAAACCAACCAACTATTGAATACAAAAATCATCATCCCCCATAAAATGAATCAAATCAAAAGCAAATAAAATAAAAGAAAAAATTAGGGATACATTTTGAAATGTTTTTTAATAAGCAAAATTAAGTTCAAAATGAAGAGTTAAAAATAAGGAAAAAGGAAAATAAAAAAGTAGAAGTAGAAGAAGTAGAAGTAGAAGTAGAAAAAGAAAAAGAAGAAGAAGAAGAAGAAGTAAGGACACGTTTTGTTCGTGATCACTCGATCAAAGCCATAGACCTTGTAGCGGGTTCCAAGAAAACATTTCGACCTACATTTCGTATTCAAAGACTGACTTTCGTTTCGAACTTTAATCGTTTCAAGATCGAACAATTTTTGTTCTTTCTTTTCATCTCTTGTCAACCCTCTTCCAACCCCTCAATGACATTTTATACGCTTTTTATAAGTTTAACTACACAAAAAAGTGATTTTTCTACAGTTTCATCTTTAGAAAAATAGAAAATAAAAAAGTTTACAGGTTTTTGTAAATTGTAGGGGAAATAAAAAAAAGTAACAAAAGTATCAAATCTTTTTGAGAGAGAGAGAGAGAGAGAGAGAAAATACAGTCCCAATATTCAACCATATGAATGGTGTGCATTGTTCGAATAACCATAAGTGAGTTAACTCAACGAAGTCTGACCAAGAACGGAGTTGAATATGTAACGATCACCCACGCAATTATTTTTTCAACCGATTCAACACCCACGTCATTTTCCAATCATTTTCTTACAAGATTTTGACAAATATTTCTTATTTTTTTAAAGATTTATGTTTCGTTTCTTTTAATTCGTTCCGTGTTGTTTCTTTTATTTTACATTTCATTTGATATCATCCTAATTAGTGAAATTAAATTCGTCAAATATACAAAGTAAAATTATTTTTTTTTTTTAAACATAATTCTTCTTATCTCAAATTAACCCTTTGAAGTGTTGTGAACGCATATATGCATTTTGTAAAAATTATTAACGTAATCGTTGGATACATATATTTATTTGGTAATATTAATGTAAAATAATGTAATGTTTATATGAATTAAATTAAATTATATTTACAGAAAGAAAAACTTTAATTATTAATATTTCATAAATTATATAATATAATAAAATATTAAAATAAATTATAATTTATTATTAGAATCTAATGAATAATAAATTATTCTTACGATGTTCCTTTCAAAAGACTTTTACTTAAAGGGTTTTTCATTATCGTTTGAATTAAAAGTTAAAAGAAAAATCATTGGATGATGTGAATGACCGATGTCGTCGGTCTCCCCTTACCGATGTCGAAGGTATAGGAAAATTGTTCATTGCCACGTGCCATCACCACCTAGGCAAGCAATTTATTTTTAACGTGCTGTGTATACGTGTGTGTATCGGTTCACGATTGCTCATCGCTAACGTTGGACCACTGTCCCTTCTCTTCTAAGACTATACTAATCATCTTATTTTCTTTCTTTTTTTTCTATTCATTTATTATTTCGAGTTTCATCTTCTTCTATTTTTTTTTTTTTTTGGTGCCTCATTTACTTCTCTCTCACTCTCTCATTCTCTCAAGCAACAACCTTTTTACTCGAACGAACATTTGGGATAGACCAATGCGTCCGATTTCTCTTATGTTAGCAATGACTCATTCTCATCTTCATCTTCTAATTTCTTCTTCTTCTTTCTTACGTGTTATCTTACACGCAACTAATCATCAACTATCTCAAACAAGAATTAACCAAAATAGATGACATAGATGTTCACAATGATCCATTTTTCTTCATTAATAATAGTCAACCTGTTTACGTTAATGAAATTTGGACGATTTAAACACGTTGATAATCAATCCAATCTCTTCAATTTATTCTTCAATAATAAAACACAAGTTAAATGTTAAATTTGTACAAAAATACATCTGTAAATAAGACTTTTTATTTTATTTTATTTTATTTTATTTTATTTTATCTTTTTACCTCATCATCATCATCATCATAGATAAATTCAATCCGTCCCATTCTCGTTTAACAACCGATCGAGGTTTATTCATAACTCAATTTTTTGTCTGATGGTTTTACTTCTTTTCTTTTTTTATTTTTTTTTTTTTATTTTTTTTATTTTTTGTTACAGTAGTAGGAATAAACCACGACATACGAAAATCCTAAAAATAAAATAATCGGAAGCATTTTATACGGCGCTTTCGCAGCGCAGGTCAACCCGATCTAAAATTAAACCTTGCTTGGCGTATCTACCTAAATACATTTCTATGCTATAGACTTCTCTTCTCACTGTTGGCTGGGTTCCGAGCATCGCACATTCGATTCGCCATGACACCGAGCTTTTCTCAGAATATTTCCCCATTTAATTTACCGATCACGATATCTATATCTTCTCAATTTCCAACATCTTTTTTTTTCATCCAAACCATTAAATTTCCCCTTTTCCAACAAAATTATTCTTACTTTGTATATTTAAAAATTATTCTATCATCAATGAGAACATCTGAGATGAGATTTTTCATTTAAAAAAATATAAAAAAAATATCACACGAAATAATAGTATTTATTTATTTATTTATTATTATTATTATTATTAATTGAAATTAAGAACTCAAAAGTTCATTGCAACAAATACCAAATTTCAGTCAGTGTTCCCACGTATTTATTTAATTTCAATTTAATTTCAATTAAATTGAATGTATTTTTGATTTGTTATAACAAATGAAAAATTACAAATTGTTATATAAAATAAAATAAACAAATTTGAATTAATTGTGAAAAAGTTAAGTTTGTCAAAATGTAAATGTTAAAATCACGATGAAACACGGTTGACTTTCTTTGATAAATTGACAACTAATTAATTCGTAATTATTATTATAAAGATGAATAAAAAGCTAAAGGTTTGATGATTCTCGCCAAATATTTCACGGAAATCGTCTCCATCGACTATTTGAAGCACCTGCGAAGATACGACGACGAGACGTATAAAACGAACAAATTCGCCACGTGTTACAATGGCCGTGCCAAAATAAAAGCAACCGCCGTTTCACAAATTCTTCCCGAATATTCTATTATTAAAAGTTTCGCTTTACGCATGAGAAATAGTACACCCAAAGAGAAAGGATGAAAAGATTATAATATCTTTCTCTAATCTTTGTTCTAATGATTTTTTTTATCTTATTCTAACATAAAAATCAATCAATCAAAATATAATAGTACCATAATAATAATAGTTGGAGATAGTTATAATATATACTAGGAGTGTCCCGTTACGCGTTGCTGTGGCTCACAATTAGTCCGATACACACGTCTTTAAGTCAATTACAATTATAAATTGAGATATAAACTATCCTATCTCTCAAGTTGGATGAAACTGCACACAGTGTGTAAAATTTGATTAAAATCAGTTCAGTAGTTTAGGAGTTCATTGTGGACAAACAACGTGACACGTAAGTAAATGACAAATGATTGAAAAGAAAGTAAGAAAGTAAGTAGCATAAGTTTGAAGATTCGAGATAGAAAGAGAGATAGATAGAATTGGTAACTGATGTAAGTTAGAATATTGCTAGATCTAAAAATAACGATAATATTCTAACTCAAAGTTGTCCGATCGTTGTTCTACGAACGAATGAACAAACCGACAAAAGAAAATGTCTTTTAAAATATCATTTCATTTTAATGATTGTTTATACATTTGTCGTTAATGTTGACTTTGGTAGAAACAACGTTTCAAATGATAATAGTTAGAGCTAGATATATATTATAGATATTTTCATCTAGACTAAAATATATCACTCTTTCAATCGTGGACCCACATTTGGACGCACCTGTTGACTCACACCAACAAATGTTTCTTTCTGAACTTTTAGTAACTATGTGAACAAGAAAGAGAGAGAGAGAGAGAGAGAGAGAGAGAAAGAGAAGAAATCGTGATAAAAATTTTCTAATATTTTATTTATGTGTACCAAATGTTAATAATAAATTTTGTTTGAAGAAAATATTTTGCAAGGGGGTTGGGTTTTGCATCGTCAAATTTCTTTTATCGACAATGTCATTTTTGGCAAATTAATTATACATTAAATTATATTTATAATGTAATATAATTAAAATATCTTTTGATAAATGGAATATATTAGTACACCCAGTATAAGTATAAGCAAATGAAAAAAAAAATATATATATATATATATATATATATATATATAATAAATATATAATATAAAATATATATAAAATAAATATATAATAAATAAGTATATAATAAAATAAAAATATAGAACAAGTTAGTATTTGATGACTTTGGTGAACTAACCCAGATAACAAGTTAGTCGTTTGAGTCAAGTACGACTGATACGTTGTCCAATATGGGCAAACAAATTCCATTTAAGGAAGTTTCGCGTTAAGTCGAGTTGCAAGGTCGACCTCTTGAGAAAACCCATGTTCACCGTTTTTAAGTAATTCTCTTTCTCTTTCTTACTATCTGCTGTTTTTCTTACACCTCTCGAATTTATCTGAAAGTAATTTTCCTTTGGCCCGATGGAAATAAAAAAAGATGACGAAGATGACGAAGAAGAAGAAGAAGAAGAAGAAGCAGCTCATATCGTAAGGTACCTTACTAGCTTTTACCGAGTTCAAGATACTCTTATGTAAATTTAGCCGCTGATTTAACCGACACCCCGCCATGCTTTACTTCGTTTCGAGTCGACCAAACTAGCTTACGATGAGATTACGTTCTATTCGCAGTACAAAACGACCTAATTCATTTTTATCTATTATTTATATATTTATCTATTATATTCAAATTATAAAATTAAAAAGTAATTAGTATTATTAACATATATATATATAATTTATTTCTATTATATATATAATTATTATTTTCTTATTATATATAAATTACGTGTCACGTTGTTTGTCCGAAATGGACTGCTAAACTACTAAACCGATTTTAATCAAATTTTCCACACTGTATGCAGTTTCATCCAACTTGAGAGATAGGATAGTTTATATCTCAATTTATAATCGCAATATTATTTTATTGCGAATTATTTGTTTATAATATATATATAATTATACTCTTTATAATTTATATTTCTATAATTATAATTTATAATTAAATATATTATATATAATTATGGTAATATAATATATTAAGATATCAAAAATATATTTATATATATTATTCATATTTTAATATTAAAAATAACCAACTCTCTTTCTCTTTCTATTTGTAATCCTTTCTCTTATATTATTTTCTTACTTTCTTTTCGATCATTTATCACTTACTTTCTCAATAGTCCCGTTACTCTTCACACGTTCTGATCATTTGTGTTTATATTGTACATGCATATTTATATTGAGATGTATATGTTCGTGTATGTGTGTATGTGTACGTATGTAGTAGTCTCGTAAAGATAACTCGAACACTTTTGCGTCTCCTCTTTTTAAAACGCAACTGAAAGTCAAGTGCACAGTGCAACATATTTAGAGGAATGATTTAATCGTTTGAACGAATTACTACTACTACTACTACTACTACTACTACTACTACTACTACTACTACAATCAACCATCACTTGTAACAACTCTTGTTTCTACTATTATACTAATGAATTGTTATCAACATTGAAGGATACGCTGACGACATCATGTCTGCTACTACTACTACAAATTTTCTAAAATTTCTTCAACTCCAAAATTATTCATGACACGAGATTTGTTTTGTAAATATTATCTTTCAAAGTAGAATTCGATTTTGTGGTTTTTGTTAAGCACTTTTTGATACAACTTTTAACAGTAATTTAAATCATCATTGACCAATGTAATAAAACCTAATCTATTTATTATTCTTTTATTTTTTTTTATTTTTATTATTATATGAATTATGTGTACACATATCTACGTAATATTTTACTATAAATATTATTTTTTATTATAAATCAATGGTAGTATTTAATTTTTTTTATAAATTTATAATATTTAATAAATTAAATCAATATTAAATATTTAATAAATAATATTTAAATAAATTCATAATATTTAATCTTTCTTTAATAAATATAAATTATGTGTCACGTTGTTTGTCCGCAATGAACTCCTAAACTACTAAACTGATTTTAATCAAATTTTCCACACTGTGTGCAGTTTCATCCAACTTGAAAGATAGGATTGTTTATATCTCAATTTATAATCGCAATATTATTTTATTGCGAATTATTTGTTTATTACATATATATATATATATTTTTACTTCAAAGGAAAAGAATTTTTTTTTTTTAAATTAAATTAATTATATCTGACAATATATGAACGGAAAAGAAATATTTTGAATTATCGATAATAAATCTTGCAAATTTCATAACTAACATAAATTCATCTTAATAGTAATCGATGATATTAATTAATTACATTTCATTGACTTAATCTTTCTCATATATGTCAGATCATTACGAATATAGGTGTAAAGTGAAATATGAATACGTACAAGGTGATTCATCTTTCATGCGACTGCATGCCACAGATAACGTAGGAATGTCTCGAACGATTTGAAAGACAGAGAAGAAAAATAATACATGAAAGAGTAGAAAAAGGAGAGGAGAGGAGAGAAGAGAAGAGAAGTTAACTTTTGGCGTATATCTTTACAAAAGTTTCACTCATTTCACGAACATATGCTTGTTATTCTATCACTCATATTTTTTTCTCATTTTCTTTTTGCAGGAGCTCGGAAGCAGCGGTTTCAGGTATGTCTTCTAAACATTATTTGTTTTTTCATTCTATATTATTTATAAAAAAAAATGTATAAACTACATTTGATTTATTCATTTAATTTCTTTTTCAATAAATTCATTTATTATAATATAAATAATTATTTTGAAATGATTTATACGAGTACAACATAATAATGTTGAATATTTGTATAAATCAAGTATAAAATTTGATTAGAAAAATAAAGTAGTAAGGTCTCTCATTATTATTTAATTAATTAATTAATTAATTAATTAATTAATTAACGTTTCTGTGCAAATTATGAATCGTTTTAGGATTTTGTGCCGCGCCTCCACCACCCCCACCACCTCCACCGGTACCCGGTCAAATGCCAAGTATGAGGATCAGTACTGCCGAGGTAAGGCATATTTCCATTGGCGTGTTCGACTTCCTTTCCCAGTCGCAAACCTTATCGCGTTCCTTCTCGACGTGTTTTCGTACCATCGTGCGCACGTATTTGCTTTATACGCATACATACAAAACAATAAAAATAAAATATACATATATATAGACACGTGTGTATGTCTGACAACTGATAATTCCACTAATTAAGCATTTGCGAGTAAACACAACACACACACACACATTTTGCTGATAAATTTGTACAAATAATTATGACCCGTTACATGGTAACAATTTTAAAACAAATTACAAAATCTTATTCTGTGATAACTTGAGAATTTAATTATTAATAATTAATATTGAAACATTTAATAAAAATTTAATCAAAAGTTTAATTCAATTTTGTATTTGTGTTTAATAGGGACCAGGTATGAAAAGGGCCCAATTACCGGTTAACCCAGCAGACACCGGTTACGAACCACCAATAGCAATTCAAAATGCTATTTTAACGAAGGACAAGAAACCCTTTACTTATACACCCGGTATGGGTGGTAAATTAGACCTATCTCAAATTCGAAGTCCACGTATGGCAAGAAGAGTAGCAAAGAATGCGAACGACGAGGGTATAGAAGGGCCACCAAAGTCAGCCCTCGAATCGAAACCAGTGCAACAAACGACTGGCGCGAGTCTCTTTGTTCAGCCGCAAGTCGCCGTTCCGGTTTTCCCACTGAATGCTCCACCTCAGCCTCCGGTCAATAGAAATTCGCAAGTGCCGATTCTCAATAGAGTGCCTTCAAATGGTAAACTATTATAATATGTTGTGCTGTTGTTCATTTAACACATTAATCATCTTGCTTTTATTATTAACTTCTCAGTAGAATTGAAACATCAAAAAATAAAAATACCTACACTCTGACATAATAAAAATGATTAATAAGCTTGCAATTTCGGCTTTGATAGCAGCGGACAGACAAGTGGAACAGACAACAAAAATTGGTGCCAAAGATGAGACGAAAGTGACTCCCATCCAGATTACAAATATTCAACCAGCCTCACCCGAAAGTCCCTGTACTCCTCAAGTGACATTGGCGAAAGCACCAACGCCTTGGTTACAAAATAAGAACAAGCAGCAGGAAGAATTGCCGGAGTGGGCGAAACGTTCGAGCGTCAATAAAACAGCTAACTCGTCACCCGAGTATAATCCGTCCACGCAACCAACCTACGCTACGAATAAGACTGAGTTAAATCAGCAAACGATACCGCAATGGCAGCAAAATCAGCAAAGACAGCAAACATCTCAACAGCAACAACAACAACAACAAAGGCAACCATCACAACCGCAAAGTCCAACCTATCAACAGATACGTCAAGTGTCTAGTCCTACAATTCAGCAACCTCAGGAACGTCAACCGATGATCAATCATCAAACGCAACAACAAGAACGAGTCATACCTATTCGTGTAAGTATTTTGTTGTTGTTGATTACATCAGGTACATTTTTCTATGTTTGTTTGTATTTTTAGATCGAAGACAGACCATCGGTATTTGCAGTAAAACAAGAACCTGGACATCATCAATTCAAGACTCAACCTAGTGTACATCATCAACAACGATGGGGTCAAACAAGTCCTCAGAATCAAACCACACAATCGCAAATCTATGTACCATCTTCTCCGCAAACTCAACAGGCACCGACATCATACGTCATCCCTATCATGGTAGAAGGTGATGATAGGAGAACGAACGTAACACCTGCCACTAATGTTCAACAATCTAACGTTAGAGTTAATCCTGTTAGAAGTGAACCAGCAAAAATGTATGTCATATTCAATTTTGAATTAAAATGAAATGAATTCAATTTGAAAAGAAAAATATATTCAATTAAATATTTGTAGAATTGTTCAACCAAGAGGTCCAACACCAATTCAAGAACCTGGACCAGTTCAATCTCGATCCTTCCGAGTTCTTCAAAAAATCACTGATACAGATTCCACCAATGATGTTGATACCGAACAATTGCGTAAATTACAACTTACTGAAGATGATAGGATTTTAATGAACAAGTTCAAAGAACAAGGTACTTAATTATTTTCTTTTGATAGGATGATTGAAATTAATGACTGAATAATGATTTATAGTTGATGGGGATAATTATCTTCATCAAGAAGAAGATCCACGATATCGTGGTGCAGCGATACCATCGCGTGCTTTTCGATTTTTACAAAACATGACCGACTCTGGCGAGATCTCAGCTGCAGCTACAAGTAAGTTTCATTTGATTAAATATTTGAAAAATAACAAAAATAAATATTTATATAAATATAAATAATAATATTTGTGTACAATGAACAAAGTGAGATTTAACATTGATTCGAGTATATGTGTAAATTAGAAAATCATTTCTGTATAATTATTTTAATTTAATTATAAACAAATTTTGTACTAACCTTTTTCTATAAAATATAAATTATTTAATATTAACAATTTTATATAATTATAATAATTGTTTTTTCTTTACAGTGCCACGAGTACAAAATGCAAACAAGAAACAGAATAGAAACTCTAAAACTTTTGGTACGATTTTGTTACTTTTTTTTCTATCTACAATTTAATTTACAATTACTCTGTAATAATTAAATAATAATTTAAATAAATGTACAGAAGACGTGCAATCAAATTTACCACCAAGCGAGCAACAAGTACCAGAACCGAAAAAATATATGGGCAGTGCGATACCTTCTCGATCTTTCAGAATATTGCAAGCTATGACTGCACCTGAGAGCGTAGGTAAGTAAAATTTAAAAATAAAATAAACAAATAATTATTTTATAATAAATATATATATATATAGAAATTTATAATAATCGTCTCTCACGTTCATACAAAATGTATCCGTCTTAAGAAAAAACAAAAAAACAAAAATAATAATTTCAAACAATAAATTCATTTGTTAAATAAAAAATTACGCGTGTAATTTTACTCGTTCAAGAATTAATTAATTTCACACCAAAGAGCTTTTGTTTAGTAATCTCATCATCCATTAGTGTTCCACGACGATCTTTGACGTCTAACTTTGTCAAATCAAATCAAATCAAAATGTTCCAATTAATAATTATTAATAAAATAATAATAATAATAATATTAATAATAATAATAATAATAATAATAATAACGCATAATGTCGCTGGAACAAACCCGAATCCTGTGTTCACAGGAATAACGAAAATTCCTTCGAGATTATCGTGAACAATTCCCATCGTGTTATCCGACCCCCGCCCCCACCCCCACCCCCCGGCCGAATTTCAATGAACAAATTTAAAACAATTCATAGAATGAACAATTTATCTTGATAATAAAGTTAATAATCATCTTCAAGATATCTTTACGTAACATGAAAAAAAAAAAATAAAATAAAATAAAATAAAAAACAAATCAATCAATCAATCAAATTTCTTTACAGAAGAAACTGTTTAGCAAGCAGAAATTTTGTAAGATACATTTACATTATTTAATTACAATCGTTGTAAAATATCTACTCAATTATTTATCAAATAAAATAATACACATGTCTTTTTGTAAATTAAATAAATTAATATTTACATAAAGAGTAGATATTATATACGACTGTAAAAAAAAACACACACACACACCCATGATTTTTATTATACATAATCTACCAAAGGACAGATTTTCAAAATCTGTCAAAGTTTCCTTCATCCAACGTGGGATATTTAAACATCAATAAGATGTTAACGAGCATACATGAATATAAAACACACATCTAAACACTATTTCAAACACATATATAATTATATACATATATAAATAAATATATGTATGTATATATATGTATAGGATAAAATTCGTGGCGCGTAAAACGGTCTGATTCACTAAAAGTTTATTTTCGTGTACCAACCACCACCACCACCATCACCATCACCACCCACCACCTCCTCGTTCAATACGAATCATGCCGTATCTACATGCCGTATCTACATGCCGTATCTTACACATACTTAAATTAACTTAACTTAATTTAACATAACATAACTTAACTTAACTTAAATGATATACACATAGTAGATTTATAGTTGATGGAAAAATAATATTCAAGAATTATGACGGTGCTACGAATGGACTGGGCACTTTTAACCGGGAATGTGTTGCATGTTTACATTATTAATAACTTCACGTTTATTTCGTATCTTTCATCTATCTATCTATCTATCTATCTATCTATTTATCTATCTCTTTCTATCTGTATTTCTATCTCTCTTCACTGGGATGATGTATATCATACAGTTTATATTTAATGAATTTACATTGCACATATGTAAAAGTGCACAGTTGCATGTGTATACACATTTAAGAAAGAGAGATTTTTTATTATAATATTTTTTTTCTTTATTTATTTATTTTATCGTCTTCTTCTTCTTCTTCTTCTTCTTCTTCTTTCTCTCTCTTTTCTTCTTTCTTCTTTCTTCCTTCTTTTTCTTTTTATTCTACGTTATTTTGAAGCATGAACAACACGCGTTTTATTATCGTTCAATCCGAAATCTACTTCTTCTTCTTACCATCCATCCGTTTTATTTATACTTATATCATTTAAAATTAAAAAAAATATATATATATACGAGACCCTAATAAAAAAAAAAAAAATATTATAGGAAAATATATTAAACGATTTATTAAAAAAAAAAAAAAAAAATAAATTAAATAACACGAGGAGGCCGTACGATCGTTTGCTCGGTAATCTGGTTTTTTTTTTTCTTATTGACGAAATTTTCGATTATTTCCTTTGAACACAGGATCAATGGTGTTTTTTTTTTCAAATCATTCTATCTCTCTCTCTCTCTTTTTATCACTCTCTCATTTTCTCATTTTCTCTCTCTCTTTTTTTGTTCATACAATAAATATCTCGTATCGATGTCATTATATCCGTCCGAATTATTGTATATTCTTTTATTTGAATTAAAAGATCCCTCTTTTCTTTTTTTTTTATTTCATTCATTTTGCCAATACATAAACCCCCCCCCCTGAAAACCACCCTGCTGTTTTTTATGATGGATTGTCGGGGGAGAAAATTATTATTTTTTTTTTGATCACTCGAAACATTCATCCATTTTGATTTAAATAAAACTCCAATGAATCTCTCCCCCCCTCAAAAAAATTATGAATTTAATTTAAAAAAAAAATCAAGTAACCACCGCAATTCAAATTTTTTTAAAAAACCCTGTGAACCCTCCTTGAATGTTCAGAGTGACTTCTCCTCCGACTTATAGAAAGAAAAATAATTTCAATGACAAAAAAAAAAAAGGCATCGTTTTTTTTTTTCAAACCACCGATGAAAATGATAAAAAGGAGAAAAACACACAAAAAGCAAAAAAAAAAAAAAAACAAAAAAAAGAAACAAATAAGTCGCGTGGGAAGAGATTGATTTTTTTTGTCTGAATGCAATGTGCTGTTTGTTGTAGCCACGCAAGAAAATCGTCAAGCAGATTACACCTGCCAAACCGAGAATAACGTGCCGGGTAATCAGCATGGTGTATATATACCTGTCTGTCCCCATCCCCCACCTCCAGGCCCTTTACCACCACCACCACCACCACCACCAATACCTTATTGGAATCCTGAGGGTTGGTGGGGTTATTATCATCCAATACAATATCAAACAATTCCTAATCTGAACGATCCTAACTCGATGAAGTTATCCTTCGATCCTTACGTTTATCGTCGTTATGAGGATGGTAACACTTACGTTTTTTATCCACTTTACAATCAGAATTACATGTCATGTGATAATTTTGAACAAGAGAACAATATTTATACGCAATACGTGGCACATTGTCAACCACCGATTCAACAGGTGAATGTTAAAGAATCAACCAACAACATTGTTCAATCAAATTTGATGAATGAAGAAAATCTGATTGCAACGTCAAATGATAATAATGTTTTTAAAGAAGATCATTGGAGAAAAATGAACGATGTTTCAAAGGTGCCAATTAATGAGAAACCTAATGATCGTCTTAATACAACATTGAATATTGTTGAAGAGGAAAAAGAACGAACTGTTTCAAAGATTGATGCTGAACACTTTGATAAAACAAAAATCATTGTGCCTAATTACACTTACGTTGACTGCAGTGATTCTAGCGATTCAGATTCGGATAGTTCATCTTCATCATCATCATCATCTTCATCTAGCAAGTTGACCAAAAGTAGGAACAACGATACCACTACGAACGACACGATATCTGAAAGTGATTCGGATTCTTATTTGGCTTATTCAACGGGTTTAAATCCACATGGGAAATCTGAAGGGACTGATCAATGCAATGATAACATTGATGATAAAAAAACCATTGAAATTGGCAAGGAACTTTGTTCGGAGAACACCATTTCCAGTTGTGATTCGGAAAATGAGGAAGAAGAAGAAGAAGAAGAAGAAGAATATCGTGTTGAATCTTTGAAAAGTGACCCAGTTTTACCGGCTCATCGGTTAAGTGTTATTTACGAGGACACTGCCGAGCACGTAGAAGTTGAAATTCCTTGTCCAAGAAAAAACAAGGACACCAAAAAGTGGAACAACGTGACACCTTGCGATGATCCACCTGACGATGTGGACACAACTGTCAGTGTCAGTTTACCATTGAGATTTAAATTCTCTGTTTCTGAAAACAACGAAGATGTTACCACAGTGATCGTTGGTGATAGTCAAATAAAATCGGAGAAAAAAACCCTAACCTCTGAAAAATATCATCGAATTGTGGAAGAAGATACCACGGTTGATTTTACTTTGAAAAGACCAAGTACAAAAGTTCAATCAATTGAAGAACAAAATGTTGTTGAAACAAACAATGAAATTGATGACACTGCACACGTTAATTTTACTCTGAGAAAAGTTCCTACAAAAATTAACAGAGTTAATTGTGAAGAATCGGTTGAAACAGAATTTACGATTAGATCGAAGAAAGTTGACGTTACCAGTCACGTTAGAAAGGACAAGAGGAAGCTCGATGGTGAAAGGCAACGAGAAAAAATTCATCGAAATAACCAGAACCAATCTGTTGGTTCTGTGTCAATCGAGAAAAATGAAAAAATCGAACCGGAAATCGTAGTGTCCGAATGTAATTGGAACGAGGATAAAGAAAATTCGCGAAATTTGACAACCAAACTCGATGATTCGATCGATCATTCGGAAAATAACCAAATAAAGGAATCCAATCAACAAGATGACGAAAGTTACGTTGAAATGGAAGTTGAACAAACTAATAAAGAAACGAAACATTTGTTGAGCGTACAAAATTCACGAGAAGAAACTGACGATGAGGACAGTGGTGTGACATCGGACATGAGTCGAATGATATCAGAAGTTGACACAGATTCCGAATGTACATCGACGAAAAATATAAGAAAATATCAAAGAACTCAAACTCATTCGCGTCTTTTCAGGTTATTAAACGATGATTCTATTTTGGCAGAGGATACAACAGAGATGACAGATGGAATATTAGGTTCATCGTTGAAACGAGAATATCTGAGTTTACCATTGAAAACACATGCATTTAATTACGACGAGAACAATTATTGTTCCAATTATTCCAGTGGTTTAACGTCACCAGAATATTCGCCTATTTGTGAACAATCATGGAAAAAATTACACGAATCTGAATTGGATTTCAATCGACAATTAAACCATCAACATCAACATCAACAACAACAACAACAACATCGTCTTGAGAGAAGCATTTCCAAGGAAGACCCTTATTACCAAGCATGGAAAAGTCCCAAATCAAATAACGCGAATGAACGTGATCAAAATCACGATGTTTTACCATCGATTGCTTTTAAAATTCTCGATAGCAAAATACCATATTGGAATTACAAGGTCAACGTTTTATGTCCACGTATCAAAAGTAGCAAAAGTGTACCCCAAACTTTACAAGGATGCAAGACGAACGGATCGAATGGACCCGGATCGGTTGTTGTTAGATCTTCACCAACTACAACCCTTCCCCTATCCTACGTCGATAACGACCATTGCTGATGGCCCGGGGCAGAGTGAGGGCCGTGTTTGGCCGCAAACAACCGGTCCACGGAACGAGCTTCGCGCAACTTTTCTCGAAATTCGCAACGACTGGGCGACTAATGCCCGGGGAGCTACAGGCTACGTGATTTTTTTTCTATCGGTACATATTAGTTTCTCGTATATAATCGTCTTTTTTTATATATTTATCTATCTATCTATCTATCTATCTATCTATCTATCTATCTATCTATCTATCTATCTATCTATCTATCTATCTATCTATCTTTTTATCTTTCTATCATTTTCTTTCCTTTTCCAATTTTCATCCATTAGGTTAATTATCCTGATGGGTCAATGATCAATTTGTTGAATTTTTTTCATTAAATGATTCAACTAATTAGACCAATCAGTCTATGCAGTTTTGTTTTTGTTTTTTGTTTTTTTGTTCAAATGTTATTTAATTAAAATTAGAAAAAAAGAAAAAAGTATAACTCTGCAAAGAGACTTATTGGTCTTCTTCAAAATATTTTTGATTCTTCTATCAACTGATTCCTTTCTTTCTAGTCCTATTTTTTTTTTTTTCTTTATCTTCTTCTCACCTTTTGATCAGTCAGTGTTTTTTGTATTTTTTCGTTTTTTTTTGTGCTCCGCAACTCGTACGTAATACGCGTTTAATAAACAACAAAAATATGATCCAGATTATATATTTTGTTTCTATTTAATCTAAATGATATAAAAACGTAACTGGTTATCAAAAAAAAAAAAAAAAAAATTATCCTAGCATAATCCTCGTGTCTCGTTTAAAAAAAAAAAAAAAATAAAAAAATAAAAAAATAAGAAATGTAAAAATGATTATTTTCTGGTTTTCATGTATCATTTCTAACGGGTTTACATTCAATCGTTTATAATCAATATTATTTTTTTTTTGGGAACAAATACAAAAAATATATATTTATATGTGTGTGTGTGCGTGTGTGTGTATATATATATAAAAATCGTGAAAAAATATCAAATCAAGTTTGGACAAACGGGTTTCAGAGAACGGTGTCATTACCATAACTAGTTTGTTTAATATTTTTGGTTGAATGCATGCATGCAATCTCTTAACTGTTTCTAATGCAAACGACAATTTTTCTTGTTTTTTTTTTTTTTATTATCTTACTCTGCTTCGATTAATTAATCTTTTTTTTTTTTATCTTTAAATTTGCAATGATAATAAAATAAAATATATTTCAAATCTATCAAGTTGCTTGGAAAGTAATTTCATTTTTTCATAATAAATAAAAGATGGTTGTTTTCATATTTAGAATCTAAGATGTTTTATAAATAATTGTAAAAATTGCACTTAGAATAATAAAAAAAAGTAAGTGTATTAGATAAAAATGTAAAACCATTATTTTCCATTTCTGAAACACGAAATAAATCTAAATTACTTTTGAAATATTTGAAGATAAAATTATTTTGTAGTTTAAAATAAAATTGGATATCAATAAACGCGATTTACTGAAATTATTTTCCAAACAATTTAATATATCATTTAATTAAATTATTTTGCATGTAATATTTGTTTAACTAAGCGAATAAAGTTGCACTAACTATCGTACCAGTTCCATTCGTAGAAAAAAAAAAAAAAAAAAAACTATTGTTAATTTAAATTTTAATCAAATTTATGATCGAGAACCAAGAGGATGCTGACGAGTCGTTGTTAATAAAAAGAAAAAGAAAAAAAAAGAAAAAGTAAATTTAAAAATAACCAAAAAAAAATATATATATATATAAAGGTTTAATAATTAATTAAATATTACAAAATTAAAATTCAACATTGTAAATACCTATGAGGAATCTGGAAATGGATTAATAATAATAATAAATGGTATGAATTCAATTTTGATTAGCATTGCTGCACGTTGTTTCGATTTTGCTCGTTTTGAGATACTTGACGTATTATTATTTGTATCAAGGAAAATATTATTATTATTATTTAAAAATTTTTCAAAAATGCAATTTTTAAATAAATTATTCATTGTTACAGATAATTAATATATTTTTTTTTTGTTTAATTTTACAGGACCCGATGCAACAGATTATTGAATGCAGATCGGGCTGTGCACAATTCTTAGGAATGCTGCTACGTTATTAGTGTGTTTTTATTTTGTCACTTAATTATTATTATTATTATTATTATTATTATTATTATTATTATTATTATTATAAATTCACTTTTTTTTGTCTTTTTTTATTATTATTATTATTATTGTTATTATTATTATTATCATTATCTTCTTCTTTACACATATTAATATAATCTTATGTAATTGTACGTATCGATAGACATTTATCGATAACGTCGTATATTTTTTTTTTCCTTTCTCTCCTTTCTTTTTAAAAGAAAAACCTAAAAAAAAACCGCGTATAACCCACGTTCCATTTATTTTCTTCTATTTTTTTCTTCTTCCTTTCCTTTCTCTCCCACCTGGTAGATTTCGTTATCAAAATCATCATCCCACGATGTGTGTGTCGAACAAAATAAAAAAAGAAAAAAATAATAAAAGAGTAAACCAACACAAACGACTATAAAAATTATACAAGATCTACACATAAATGTTTAATTTTATTACATCATTTAACTAATTAATTATTGTTATTTAAAACGAATGGAGAAAAAAAAACACGTAATAATAATAATAATTAATATTAAACCAAAAAAAAAAAAAATAATTATATAAAACTACAAAATTAAACAAATGTACTTACTAAACAAATTCGTATTTCAAAATGAGAAAGTATACGATTGGTAAAATACCTCAAAACCTCAAAACAACACTGTCATTATCATACATTTAAAATGTAAGTCGTGTATAAATAAATTATTTATCAATATGAGACAAACAAACAAGAAAAAAAAAAAAAACATTGATCATCATTATATCCCAAAACCTTAAATAAATGTTCTTTCTAATCAAATTACATTCACAATGTAATGTACATTCGTTTACGATGCATAATATAAGCTATGCAAGTCCAAAGTACAATACTCCAAATAGCTTCTACCAATACTAAAGTACGACTATGCATGTTACCGATACGCCAATGAAATGGAAAGATTTGATAACACAATTGATGACCGATGTACATTAACAGTGCGTTCATTCCTAAAAAAAATGAAAAGAAGACAAAAAATAAATTAAAATCAGACAAAATGTTTTCAATTAAAAAAACCAACCAAATGTGAATGAAATTAATGAAAGTTATTTACCAGGTATTCGAAAAGGACCACCTCTCCATATTCTAGCAACATCTACGAGCAAGTAACAAGCTGATAAGAGTCCAAGAGCAAAAGCTGTTGTTACCAATGCAAATGATAACGACCATAAATTTTTATTTACGGGTATGACGTAAATATGAACGAGAAATCCAACGATAGCTAAAAATACCGCCCATAAGAGCCATCTTATAACCCTGTCCTTCCAATCTTTATAACACAATAAAATTTGTCCTGCTTGGACACCCAGAAATACTTGAAAGATCGTTGTCAAACAACCTGAAATAATAAATCCAAAGGTTTTACGTATCATTTGGTTTTATTTTGGTTTTGCTTTGGATTTCTTTCAAATATATTTACCTAAAATACCCTCAGGATCGAAAGGTTTAGAACCATAAACTGAAACTATCATCAAATTTTGATAAATGTGTTTAGGTGTTAGAATTAAATCATCAATGTAACCAGCAGCACCACCTGTACAATTCATATATTTTCCATCTTCGTGACGTCCACCAGGACCAAGGTAACCACTGTGATAACATTGCTTATTTCATTTTCTAATAATAATGTTTAATAAATCTTAAATATACGTACATACGTGGGACAACCTGGTACTGAAAGTTTGAATGTTAATAAGCAATGTACTACAACGATACCTACAACCATGATCCATTGTGGTAACAACATGGATATATCTTTTAAACGTTGATGCAACAAATTCTGTAAATATAAATACAATCTTACATATTAATTTTCTATTAATTTATACAAAATATTATAATAAACACTTGCCTGTATTTTTTTCGGTTTTCTAGGTGTTAAAAATAGAAACATCAAAGCAACTATTAAATAAGCTAAACCAAATCTTTGCAATACACCAAATATTCGAATATTTTCCAATTGTGGTACACTGTTCAGTGTGTTTAATGCAACACCAATAAAAAATAGCATCACACTTCTCTGTTAAAAACAAAAAAAAATATATATATCAAATTATTATTTGTATTAAATTAAATGATTTTCATCACTTACCTTCAAAATGTTCAAAGAAATTTCTAATTTTGAAATACCGCGTGATAATTGCGAAGATATGGCTATGGGAATACAAACTCCCATAATCCACATGAAACATGGAAAAACTAAGTCACCTATTAACAAACCATTCCAAGTTGCATGCTCGAGTAGATAATAACCTCCAGCACCGTTATTAACAAAGATCATAAATAATATGCTGATTCTATGATAGTCAAATAGCATAAATTAATTTCATTTAAAAAATCTTCTGTTTTTTTTGTTTTTTTTTTTAAATATTTTGATTTAATTACCCTCTAAATGTGTCGATGGATTTCACTCGACGTTTTTTTGCAACATCGTTGGTGGTCTGATTATCGGCTCGTTTCATACACTTTTCTTGTATCAATTGCCATATTTGTCTCGACATAGAAATTCCAATTAGAAAGCATACTATTATACCAAAAACAATAAGGAGAGCTATGCGAAAGAGAAATTGTATTAATTTTCAAAAATAACAAATATTTTCTCAAACAAATTTGTAATTAATTTACTCACTGATGTAAGAATTCGTTGGTCTTATTAAAGTGTTAAAAAAACAACTATCATTTCGTATTAATAATTCGTAACTTCCGTATTCTCCTAAATTCGGTGATAGTTTGCATATTGCATTACTAAAAAAAAAAAAAAACAAAAATTATTTTAATTAAAAAATAACAAATATTTCCAAAGAGATTCTAATTTTCTCTCGTTTGTTAAATATATCAATAAATAATACCTGATATTTTTTGCTGATATATATTCACTAAAACCATCGACATTAAGTACTGCCAATTTCATAGTTCTAGCAGTGTTCAATTTGACACTGTAATTCACGCTTGAAATTGGTGATACTCTACTGTAAGGACACTACAAAAATTTTGTTCAATTAAAACAATTAAACAAATTAATAAAATAACAAATAAAATCATAGATAATAATTAGAAAATGTTGAATATATCGATAACGATTATCTAAATAAATAAATAAATAAAAAAACCTACGGAAACGCAATCAGATGAAAGTGCATAAAGCCATGCATTAGATCCATCTTCATTTTTTAATTTAACACAAGCCTCGTCGTACTTTAACTCACTGTAAAAACACGGCTGTTCGAACATTTCTCCCCTTTCTATTTTTTTTTTTTTTTAATTTTTTTTTTATTATTTGATATTAAAACTGAAAATAAAAATTCATTCGTACGTAATACCATAAAAATCCTTATATAGATATATGTGTATACTTATGTAAACGAATAAAAAACACAAACACAGACACGTATACTTAATACGAGTGGAACAGTTACAGAGAAAGTGGAACAGAACTCATTGAGATTTTATCAACGAGATAAACAGATATACGTAAAGTACAATTAATTGAAGTCATAGATGATCGATTGTTAAATAATCAGATATTAAATAGAAAATCTGTGTGTTATATTACTATTTATTTTAGTATTATTGCACATCTGTCTGTCATCTTTGTATTATCGTTATGAATTAAAAAAAAAAAAGAAAATAAAAGAAAAATTCCATTTCAAACGATTATTATTATATTTTAATAAATTATTTCAATTAAAAAAAAAAAAATCAATTCTTGATTTTTCTAATGCCAGCATCCGTTCTTATTTAAGTCAACTATATCACCAAGTAAATCTTCTTAACTGTTTCAAGTTATCCGGCTTTTCCTGACTGACTAAGTAGAAAACGTACATTCTGATACAAACAAACACACTGTAAACGTGAAAGTAAAGTACTCGTAACCCAGATTTATAAATCGGTTTAAAAGATATGCATATTATTACTACGATGTGCATCTTAATTATATTCATTTAATTACCTTTACTTGATTAAATAAAATAAAATAAAATAAAATAAAATAAGATAAGATAAATAAATGTGCAACAACAACAATTTTTGTAATATAAGAAAAAAAATTAATTTTCAATAAATTTCTTATCAAGTTTCAGTAATTCAACAAAAGCTTCTACAAATTAATTTAT